GAGTCTGCAAGGCAAAGGACGTCCAATGTTCTGCGACCCTGTTTTTCGTTCAGGTGCTGAAGTGCTTGTGTTCCCCGCCCTAAGCATGGCATCAGTAAAATGGCATTGCAACGAGACTGAGAAGATGAGAAATTCTACACCACCAGCCAGTAGCATCGCGTGACAAGATCAACAAAACACTTTGCACCGGACTGAGATAGTCATCATCCAACATCACCTCGCTTTTTGATTGCTTCCATCTTCTTCATGCTACGAACTGAGATGTGTGAGACGCATCACGCCCGAACATCACGCAACATCGTACACCCACACGAGGCTATACATCGCAGCATCAGCCTTCGGTCTGCAGCAGCAACGCTCGCCGTGCATCAGATCACTACGTGGTAGTTCAACTGATCGCTCGTGACGTTGAGCTTCCTGTCCCCCCGTCGCCGTGCTGCCTGGAGCCGCCATTTTGGTCAGTTACCGCAATCTGCCGCACCCCCCGCAACGGTGGTCGGTGGTCCCAGTCAGACGGTATCCAAACCGAATGCACCGGAAGTCCCAATGTGCAAACCGGAGCTGGTTATAATTCGGATGCGCCTGTTCTGTTGTCTTCGGGAGTGGACCCCGCCTCTACGAGCATGTGCCTTTTGCTGGTCAGAATTTGTCGGATTGTTTTGTGCGGAAAACTCTAGCGCCGCTTCGGTGATTCTGCTGGGTTCTTCAGGAGTATAGTCAGCCACCGAGCACCTTTGATGAGTATGTTTCCGCATCTCCTGCCGTCTTGAAGGAACTTCAGAAGGTGAGCAAAGCAGCCCAGACCTCAGAGGCGGTACGATGGCGCTTGCGGCCTGTCTTATCGATGAGCTTCCCACGGCTTCGCTGAGCACACTCCCGCACGTCTTTTGAGGCTCCTCCCGAATTCGAGATTTGGCTCCACTGCACGCCACGTCAAATACAGGACCGCATCCGAAAATTGGGACGAGGATGACTCTTTGTAAATGGTTGGACTTCAAGTTGCAAGCCCAATGCAGTTCCGCCACCTTGCAAGGACGAATCGCGTCCGTTTGTTGCGCACGAGCACGATGCCTTCGAAGCCAAATGCAAGGCAGTCTCAGCAGTCGGACATATCGCACTCTCCCTCTTCTACAATCATCTATACCGGGCAAGGAAGCCAATGCTACTGTTTGTGAGTGGCAGTTCCAAGTAAGTAAGCGCCCTCGCAGATTCTTGACTCCTGTCAGAGGCACTTGGCGTTGCCATCCAGAGGAGGCTTGCTGTTTCTCTTGCTCGTTCCCATGACCTCCACTGGAGAGCATTGTCAACACTGGTCTGCACACGAACTTGGCTCCTGATCGGCCTTGGTTCGAAAGGGCAGCATTACTTTCGTGAAACGGACTAGGTTTTGCTCTGACTCGCAGCCATGATCGGCGAGCTGCGTGACATAGGGCCAGGGTTCATACCGTGGGACCCGAGACGCACGAAGCGAAGAGGCGACAACTACGGGGGTCTTCTCGCAGCCATGGCCCTGACTCTCATCCTCAGTCTCACCCTCAGGATGTAGAGTTGAAGCATGTAAAGGAATCATGCCACCACCGTCATTGCCTCACGAAAACCAGTTTGCAGAAGCCTTGTGGGGAGCATGTTTGCCGTTTTGTGCCTGCGTCGTGTTGCTTCCAAGCTTTGTTCCTGGATCTTCGTAGTCAGTCTCCAGAAAACTGCCACCAACAGAGGTTCCCTCTGCTCCCATCCGGTTGATCCTATGAAGCTCCTCCTCGATGACCTTGGAAGCTATGTGGAAGTTCGCTCGTGACTTCAACGAAAGTCCATTCCCCAAAAGGTCATGCAAGCAAAGATTGGGTGTGCAGATCGCAAGTTGTGAAAGGTCGAGTTGCACATCTGATGTGGTATCTTTTGATTCTCGAAAACAACAGCTTGTGGTGTGTGCATGACTTCGAACGAAGAAAGCGATGTTTTGGGTAGAGGCACAATCAGCTGAACGAGCCAGGTTCCTGGAGTGATCTTTTGTAAAAGAGGATCGAGTTTGGACAAAGAAATCGTATTCCAGGGCCGAAGAATCATTGTGCGTTGCAGTACCAAAGAAGTAAAGGAGTCTCAGCACAGCCGCGTGGGGGAAAGGGTCGGACAGACATCGCTCCTGCAGGCTCTATGCAGCTGGACTGCCCATTAGCGCCCCGAAGCACTTCAGGCAGATGGCTCAGTACTCGGCAGATGGGAGAAACTTCACTGAGGTCTAGACATGCACTTCGACGCCCTCCGCTGCTTCCTGACAAGCAGCGAAGATCAGGCCACTCTGCCAACTGCATCGGGCAGAGGCTTTCATCGTGCAGACAGGGTCTGCTGTTGATCTTGCATAAATGCTCCCTTGTGACATTGGTGCTTCTGCATGTGCCGGCTTTGTCTCAAACGCACTGGCCGCAGGGGTCTGTCTAAGATGGAGGAGACCCTTTGAATCCTGCCGAAGGACGGAGGTGACCAGCGCTGCGGCTTCTTCCAAGCCTGGAGAGCCGTCGCGGAGGCCCAGGGCGGATGGCGTCTTGAAAGCCTGACATCAAGAGTATAAGCAAGTTCGGTATACCCTGCCTGGGGCTGACTTGACATGTGTCTATCACTAAGCAGGTCTGTCTTCCAGGGTATACCCTTCATTTTGGTTGTGTTACCTGCAATCGTTGTCCTGCAAAATCAGTTGCCGCCCTCGATATTTATACTAATGGAAAGACAGTCGATGATCCCGAGTTCTCGCGACGGTGTCCTTCGAGTCTCCAACCGGCGGAATCCGCCATGTCGATGGGGAAGCATAATCATACCGGCTTGTGGTCACACAGGGCAGACGCGCCACGGCTCCAGGACGTGACCGACCAGCACAGGTCGGAGCAGACCGTTGAAACTGGAAATGCAATTGCCCATGACGCCTTTGGCCGGGAAGGACCGTCGAGGTCTGGTGTGAACAAATCTCGAAGCGCCCACCTTGGTCTTATGCGGACATGTTTGCATGCATTCGAAGATCGCCGAATGAACGGAGGTCTAGAGTCTAAAGCCCAAACACCTGAACGGGGCGTCGGAAACCCACTTGAGAGGTTGACTCCTGAGTGAAGTGCCTGGCCCCATTTCGCTTCCCTTCTCTCAGCCTCTGGCCTCGACGATGCCGTCGCGCAGCCTGCGGTTTTTGTTCCGTGCAGGATATCTCGACAAGCGGGGCCTGTAAGTATCCATGCTCATGGTTACGAGCCTGGCCATTATGTCAAGGCTTCTGGGTTCAATCGGGGTCATGCTAACTGGCTTCGCAAATCTCGACGGAAGTTTTGGTTTTCTGATTTGGAGCTAGAAACACTGCAAACTGCGGCCCTCCTCCACTCGTCGAAGAGATATGACGGGAGGTTTGTAGCCGTGTTCGTGCATTTTCGCAGAGCGACACATGATGCATGTGTGCCACTCGAGCATCAACCCTGAACAGGCAGCGGATGACGAGAGGACATGATGTCAAAGATTCTCAAAAAAAGTCACCACCTGCTTGGCAATGGTTTCAGACGGTTGGTCCCTCCAAAGCAGCAAGACGCGCTAGGCTCTCTCCGCTTCTTTGCCCCTCTACGCCTCTCTCGGTCTGTCTGTCTGTCTGTCTGTCTGTCTGTCTGTCTGTCTGTCCGTGTTACTCGGTGTCTCGCTGGTTGTCTGTCTGTGTCCGTCTCACTACTCGCGCTCGCTCGCTCGCTCGCTCTCTCTCTCTCTCTCCCTCTCTCTCTCTCGCTCCCTCTCTCTCTCTCTCTCTCTCTCTCTCTCTCGTGCACTTTGGCTTTCATGTTCGCTGTCAGAGTCAGGGTAAGACATTGCAGAGTGATGAGGCTGTCGCATCTGCATGCGCTGGCTCAAGTTGCGGGTGCTTGTCACAATGAAGCAGTTTGATGTGTTCAAGTCTTCCGAGTTGGCAAGAAGTGGTTTTCACAGAATCGGCAATGGTTGCAGATTCATGAGTCGGCATAATATGTGTTGCTGGTGGCAGATATTGCGCCCAGCAGAGCCCACAGTTTACGTTACAGGGGTCAACCATAACTCTAGGTCCATGGTTCTGGTTCAGCCTGCCGGGCCCATTGAAGATGTTGGTTGGAACATTGTTGGGAGCTAAGAAATGCTTCGCGCAGACTTCGCGCTGATTCTTTGCCCTGCCATTGGGGCAGAGCCTGGAGGGCAGACCTGTAAAGTCCACCGCGCAGGGCAGCGTGACAATATGCTGGCATGAACCAAGCATAAGCAATGCGCCATAAAAAGCTAGGAAGAGAAGCCACAGCTCCCAACGATGCTGAAGTCTTTGACATTGACATGGTAGTCATAACAATATGAGGTGTCAAGGGTAGCAGGTGCTCCAGTCAAGCACGATTGGTCATGCTAGTGCGAAACGAGTAGACTTCGACGACAACATTCCGAGGAAGACACTTGCCAGAGGTTTGCCGTATTTGCTGATCGCCCCAGCCTCACGAGCTTATCCGCCTGTCCCGAGGTGGCGTCACCAAGTGACATGGCCACGGAGGGCCGCAGCCCTGCGGAAACAGACAGCCGGCTTTTGCACAACTTCATGTTACCATGCTGCTGCCCAATCTTTGTACTTTTTTTCTTGTTTCTTAAGTGCCACTCATAGCAGAGCTGCTGGTGGTGCCCATAAGGACCACAAAGCGTTGCTGCTTTGTAGGTACGAGGACAACTACTGCTATCTCGATAGAGACAGTGGGCTGTCACAGACATGTTGTTGGAACTGCCAAGTTTCCAGCTTCGACTTGCCTGGTGCCGGTGAAGAGGCCGCCAGTCTCCGTGCAGTCGAACCCTGCTTTCGGATTTCGTTTCGTTGTTGCAGTGGCGCGGCGAACTTACGCACATATTACACGTCGTTCTTGTTCTGCAGGGTGGGTTGACATCTCTGGCGACCGTCGAGGTGGGGCAGTCAAGCCATGAAGGGACACGTGTCAGTGGTCCGCCGGAGAATTCCACAAGCTGATCAGGCACACTCCATGCTGGGCGTAATGATCGGAGCACATCCTGTGGGCGGCACTGGGTCATAACCTTAGTCGTTGTGGATATCCCGTGGCTGAGTCCTCGTCTTTTGACCATTCTTGCATTCAGCTGTTGCTGTGTCTAGGCCGAAGGCCGGATTCCTCTACATCCGCGTGCTTGAGGCTTTGCGCTGCGATTGCAGCGTTCCTCGCAGTCAAACATGTTCTGACTTGATGTGACCGCCGTGGTGTTTGCAAGTCGTGAGGCCACCCTGCCGGCTAATTACCACTAGTTTTTCAATTTATTGTTGCTGTGGAATTTGACTGCTGCATCTGTTCCTGCCACAGTGCAACGTTGAACAGACGTGCCTCCGTCATCGTCACTGCCATTGCAGACTAAAGAATCTTCATACTTCGGCTGATTATGGCCTATTGCTGCGAGTGCTGAATGAACAGATCGGAGCTGTGTCTGATGATGGAGATGCTGATACAGCTGCTGGGATAGGTCATGGTGGCTCTAAACATGAGGTATGGAGACGAAGATGAGGATGATGAAGGTATTGCTGATGATGAAGACTGAAGAAAGAAGATGATGATTCTGGCGACATGTACAACGCCATTGCTGCTGGTGACCGTGGCGTGACTGCTGATGCCGATGGTGTGGATGGTGATATTGCGAGTCGTGGTACTGATCTTGATTGTGGTAGTTTTGCTGCTGCAGATGATGCTGCTTCTGATACTGATGATGATAATGCTGCTGCTGATGATCATTATGATGGTGATGCTGATGATGCTGATGCTGCTGATGGTGATGAAGGCGAAGATGGCTACGATGGTGACGTCAGAACGATCGCGATGTTCGTGATGATGACGACGAGGAGATGTTGATGGTGACTTTGATCTTAGATGGTGAGGTTGATGATGTCGACAGCGAAAGTGGTCGTGGTGGTGGTCGTGATGATGACGGTAATGTGGATGTTGGTGGTAAAGCTGAAGGTGGAGCTGGTGACACTGTGTTGATTAAATCGCGCTGATGATGTTGCTGATGATGATGATGATGACGATGATGACGATCGTTGTGCTTGTGCGAGATAAGGAGCCGGAACAGCTTGAGGACCGTGATGACTAGGAGCGCGGCAATTTACTGGTTCTCCAAGCATGTCTGCCACAGCAATGCACGTCGCAATCGCAAGCAGCAACCTCCTGCATGTTCATGGCGACTGGTTCTTGTCCTTGGACTGATCATGGGCTTTCTTCTCGCAAAATCCAGATGGCTTTGATTCATTTGATGCTTTTTGCATTTGTGGGTCTGGTGAAGGAATCTGTTGCTTGAGTTGTAGAGGCCGGCAACCTCGAGGGCCTCATCGGCCAGAGCCTTCGGAAGAACGCCTCGTTGCTGTCGCTTGAGATAGGATGCCGCAGGACATTGAGAAGAGGCGCTTCCGCAACAGCATGTCTGTGCCCTGGCTCAGGCACGCCCTCATGCTGCAGATCCTCGAGCTCAGGCTCGGGACTCTACTGACTCAGTCGCGTATCGCCAGAGAGTGGGTTTGAAGTCCCCCACAGCCAACGCCAGGCTGTTCCTCGAGCTTTTTCTCCTGCTCAGGTTGCACCTGTCCGTGCCTTAGTGAAGGCCACAGCTATGGGCTTTGGCCCATGGTCCAAGTGTCTGCAAACGTCTGGAAAGGCAACAAAACGCACAAGTAGACACACTGCTTCGTTCCGGACTTCTGCAAGGCACGTCCAGCACAGCACCGGAAGGACTGCAAGTGGGGCCTGCTTGGCATGCTTCAAAGGTGTCAGATAGCACCTCCGAACTCAGTCGAAAAAACTGTTACAGCTCCTGCCCATCAGAATCTTTGCTTCAGCGGTGCTTCTGCCAGGTTCTCTTGCATCTGTCTTGAGCGCACGGTCCGTACCAAGGTGGGCACAGGATGCACACGATGACAGGCTGACACCATTTGTCCAACTTCCAATACTCGCCAGGTAAAGGCCACTGTGGACGCACTGACGGGCACTGCCACCTTCAGGGAGGAGCAAGCACCTGCTGTGATGACCGCAGCCGACGTGGAGATCTGCTCACTCTTGTTTGCCACGCGTTGATAGCAAGAACATGCTCACTGCAACTCGCAGGCCGTTGGCTCAAATTCCAGGGAACAGGCGAAGTCGCTCTGACTGCTTCGACTGTTGGCTTGCATGGAAGTAGCTGTCCCGATGGAGCTGCACTACAAGCACAGCTTTTTGACCGCTCAAGAGGCCTGAATAGTTTTTGCAGCATATGACGAAGTGCTGGGTTCCCCCCCTCCCCCCAGCACGTCTCTGCTTGGGATGGCCTGGGCACAGCCCCAGGCGATCGAGGCCACGGACCGGGAGCGCTCTCAAAGTGAGCCTCCACCGCCCTCGAGGGAGCTGGAGGCGAGTGGCAGGGGTACTGGTAGGTGCACTCTGAAGCTGCCACTTTTTGTGGCTAATGTCGCAGTAACCTGGTAGCTGGGGCATGTTCTTTCGTCACGTCTCTTGAGACGCCATGTCGTTCATCCTGGCTCAAGTTTTTTGTTATATGTGGCTGACCCGAAGGGTGCGCCACTGCGCCTTATGGATCGCGACTTGGAAGCTGGTCGCCCTGTTCCCGTGCTGACGGACTCTCAGGAGTCTCGTAAGCTGCATGTTCGATGGTATGCTGTGCTGGTGACATTGCTCATGGTTTGCGTGTACATGCTGCAAGAGCACGTCACCTCCTTCCAATCTGTAAAGCAACTTGGGTACAGTCTCCACCGAGCGCCTGCAAGGCCAGGCTCAAGCCTTTTTCGGCCGCCTGCCGCCATTGTACCAGCCAATGCCAAGAGGCACGACTTGAGCGAGGTGATCAAGTTCCATGGTCAGAGTGTGGCATCTGCAACTTCGAGTTTCGTGATGTTCGATGTCAACAGTGCAATGTTCAGTTGGCTGAAAACCAAAGGCGAACAGTTCGTGCAGGAGATAGGGTCCTGTACTGTTGAAGCCGGCATCATAGACTTGAAACAC